AGCATCTCGCTCACCATGAAATTCCGAAACAGTAAAATACACTAATAGAGCCCACATAGAAGCTTCACGAATACCATTTCGTCTATGATAGATTGTTAACGTTACTGCCAAGAATTGGAGTGATTTCGGACCGACAAAATCTACAATATTTTTGACGAGTTCCTACGTTTTACTCAGACATATTTCTTAAAAAGATGTAGACTATCCTTTGAAATGTGATAGTTACGGTATCCCAAGGCTTCCTAGATAGCTATACCTTAGTAAATTGAGGAACGTGTTTAAAAGTCCTGAAAGAAAATGGCGGTTCTTAAAGAGTATGTTCAAAATAAGTGTAAGCTTGGTGAAAAATACTCAGCAGAAATACATTACTATGAGTCAAAAGGTTCACTCCTCTGGCCAGCGTCAAACACAAAAGCACATTGATAAGGAGTAATTAAAATCGTATGAAACCTGTAAGACACAGAATAAGCTTTTAAAGACACACAGATTTCTAAAATCTACAGCACAATCAACTACCCATTATGAACGATCAATAAGAATGTAACTAAGGTCCCATGAAATGAAACTGGCAATATAAAATTAGTATAAACCAGGATATTTAGAATACTAGTATTTGAACGAAGAATATTCTTTTCGATAAATTCTCTTCACGTTCTACAATTATATATCCAAATTAATAATCCAAAAAAAGGTCAGGTTAAGGGTAAAGTACATCGTTTAAAGCATGTGAATTTAGGATTGTGATAAATAAAATACAATAAAATTGTTAATGTTGATATGACTCATAAAGAATGTTAACTTGAATCTGATTATATGTTCAGTGAGATTTTAAGATCTATGATCAGAATAAATATGGGTCAAGTAGGATGAGAAAAATAATAGTGAAATTACCATTCGATCAAATAAGAAGGGAAGAATGCAAAGTGAATGAATCATGTATAGGGTAGAATAATAATGATGTTTAACCAATAATACAAATACAAATAATAATAATAATAATAATAATAATAATAATAATAATAATAATACAAAGATTTATTGATAAAGATAACAGAGAAAACTGGAATTGACTACGAAAGGTCATAGTCAAATTACGTCATTCAATAGTTAAGATTATGGTTGATTATTTGGCCTTGATGTTGGCCAGGGGAGGAGGGGTGGTTGAATATATTTCTTCTGTACGCACAGCTCCGGTTTCTTCATCCGGATGGCTATTGCTTCAGCTGTTTGAAGGACTTTCAGTCTGACCAGTTTGGGCAAAAAATTACTGACCTTATAAATAATTGAAAAAGATTGGTTTATACTGGCACTATGACCAGTTTGTACTAAATGGGCTAATATTGAGCTGTTCACTTTCTTCATCAAACGTTTGTTAAGCCACGCTGGAAGGTGTTCACGAGCACGAAAATGTAAATTCCTAGAACTTCGACAAATACAACTCGCTCCACAGGAGCAGTCGAACTGATAAATGCAAAATGAGGTGGTCATTCTAGGTAATTCATCTTTTAGTCTCGGTGTAACCATTGGGCGCGTAGAACACACTAATCGCAGTTTTCCGGCGTTAAAAGATTTTTGTATTGTCCTACGTAGTCTCTGAGTTAATATTTCACTCGCCGCATCCCCTCTGAATTGTAGACGCATGAACAAGGATTTCTTCTTCACTGTTTGTATTTCGCCTATTTTCGCCTTCGTGATCATATATTTAATTATAAACTTTCCATGGTAACCGTTCTCCCTGAGAGTATTATGCAAGCTGTTAAGCTCTTGTTCAACTGTATCAGCAGAACATATAGCGCGTATACGATAACTAAGGGTTTTGATCAGGTTTCGTTTGTGCTGTAGAGGTATAAAGCTCAGAAAATGCGTATACTGCCCAGTCCATGTACTTTTTCTGTTTAAGTTCCTTTTCAACGACCCGTTCGCTCTCTTAGTCAAGAGAACGTCCAGAAAAGCTATTCGGCCATCATTCTCTTCTTCTGATGTAAACTGCATGGCTGGATGTACTTCATTAAATCGCCTAAGAACCTCTCGTGGTGACGTATTATCTTTACAGAGGATGAACGTATCATCCATGTATCTACAGTAAAATGTGTTTCTTTCCTAAATTCACATGCTTTAAACGATGTACTTTACCCTTAACCTGACCTTTTTTCGGATTATTAATTTGGATATATAATTGTAGAACGTGAAGAGAATTTATCGAAAAGAATATTCTTCGTTCAAATACTAGTCTTTTAATATGACGGGGATCTTTAAACGATATTTAGAATAGTTGAAATGCCAGAGATAATACTGAAGCTCGAATGTTGAGTCGTAGGATACTGAAGAGAACAACATTGGTTTGATTCATTTCCACTGGTTGTTTGAGTCTCCTGATTTATGTTCACAACTGAAACCGATAAGTTTTTTTGTGCGGAATGTCTACCTTGCCATTAAGTTTCAACTACCAGTCATGACTCATAGAAAAGACAAAAACGTCATGTATCCCACCGTCATCACGCGATATATATTAGTGAGTTGGATAAATCCACCTTAATTATGAAAGAAACTGTAAAATTATCACACAGCCATCTTATGCTTTGAGAAGACTCACAATGTTCACCTGTGACAATAAATATACTTAGAAACAACATAATGGGTTCACTGTTCATCATTTTAACTAGAAACTAATACCCGACTGTCTTCAAACAACGGTGACAATGAAATATGTAAAAAAAAGCACAGTATAGTCCAAACAAGGCAACAAATACTCAGGAAGATGAAGGGTGATTATTTATGTCAGAAGGAGCCTGAAAGTCTATGTAGCTACTGAAATACAATCATCCAATATGTCTTGATGGAACTGGTTCAGGGTGTACCTATTAACACTAGGGAAAGATATGTAACACTTCTTCAGGCAAAAGTTGGTGTAAATAAAAGATTTCTCAATGCTCCGAATCCTATTATGTATTACAATAAAAAATTATAACCCCCCACCTCTTATTAAATATGGGTTTACCACGGTGATGTTCTGATAAACGGTACCTAGTTTGGCAGTTTAAGGACACGAGTAAAGAAAAACGCTAAGTGGGATTAAATTTTCATGGAAGAGACTCTGTCTATCAAAATGTTTTGAAATTTAAGCTCCCTAAACGGGAAAAACGTGTTATAGTCGCGTTTTGCACAAGCATTAACGCGGTATTATAATGTGTTGAGAACTATCTCTATCTATATTACAGCGAAACTTACTGCCAGGAAAAATTATCACTGGTCCTCACCTGGGCGGAAGCATTGGAGTGCTTTTTCTACTGACGTAAATAAAGAACTACAAAAGACTGTTATAGCTTAAAAAATCACCAGGGTACGACAGGTTGATCTCAGCTACTTTTATGAAGTGCACCGATACCCTTTATACGCTAGTCTGTAATCTGTTTTGACACCCAGTAGATGCTCAATATTTTTTGAAAGAATAAAAACAGCCTATCAATGCCTTCAAAGTCGAACAAAGATTAACAAAAGATGTAAGTTGTAATGGATATGCTCGATTATTGCTGAAATCTATAGAAATCCTAGTAAGTCCTTAGGTTAAGCAATACTAAAAGTGAACATTTAAAATTTGTAGCCAAGTTATTTTATAATATATTACCAAATTTAAACATGTAACATTAACATGTAGTCGCACTGTGAATGGCAAATAGTTACTCAATTTGTCCATTGAACAGTTGAGTGATCAAAAGTAAGGAAGTGGCTTTTCTAGAGATTTAAGTCATATTCCGTTCATGACTAAAAACGTATGTGAAAAAGACATGACTTATTTCTGTTGCTTATATATAAAGTAGGTCTACTAAACTTAGTGCAAACACTGAAAACTTAGTCCTTGTTATTGAATCGAAATGAGAGACAAGATAAAATCTTGTTGATGCATCAGTAAATTTTCACTTTGTAAAATGTAATTATATTTAGGATTTTAGCAAAGGATATATTCTCTACATACGATTATCAGATGAATGTCTTCCACTACGATCATTATTTTCAAAATGATCACAGAAACCACGAACATTCAAAAAACAAAAAAGATGAAAAAGATAAACCAGCTCATTCTTAGTTTCATTTCAAAACTCAATCAATAACTGGATTAGATATTAAACAAACAGAAGAAAATGAGAATAAATTACTGATAAAAAGCAAGTAAGTAGACTAGCAAGTAGGTAGGTAATCATTAACAATAATAATAGTAAAACAACATAATTGTTAACAGTCACATTTTAGTGTACTGTAGATTCGATATGAGTCAAAGAAATGCATCTTTATTAAAACAAAAGAAAACGAGTGGTAATGTATCACAGAAGAATAATAAAATTATAAGACAGCAACAACTACGATGACAAAAATGACTGGTCCAATGTCAACTACATATTTTCCTTTCATTTTAGCTCTCTTTACATTTGTCATTACAACCATTTTGTTTGGATCTACTAGTTATCTAGTGAAAATGAAACACTTATTTAACATTGAATTAAAACCAATTAAACAACACAATGTTAAAAGAAAACAAGGGATGGGACAGTGGAACGAAGTAGCAATGAAGAATACCAAACAACAAAAAGATATTCACATGGTTCAGATTTTGTAAAGAGTATTTAGTGAAGAGTGAACTTCGTCTTCTCTATACAGATATCCATGTAGTGATTCTTCGACGCAAATTTGAACAATAATGATGATTTGTCATTAGTAAATATTTTTAAATTTGGAATGCATCGTACACAATGATAACGATTATAATAACTTATTTTTAGTATTGCTTAATTGAAAAATGAATAAAGATTAAATATTATTCAGTTAGTAATATTAATTTACCAATGTATTCATCCATAGAATTTTATTATACAATATACATATGCTTCAGTCCTTTTCTTTGTACTACCATTCGTTGTATTTCAGTTAAAAACTAGATGTGTGTGTGTGTGTGTATGTTTCAATATTGACAAATAAATAAAATGTTTCCCGAAATGTTTCTTCTGTTATCCAAATAATCCACGTCTCGTTACTTTGGCAGATAATATATTGTGTAGAATGAATACTACAGGCTTTGGACATCCAAGTAAATCTAATTCCTGTCAATTAACAAATTATAACTTTTTTAATATGTATAAAGAATTTATTGAAAACTGGATATTAAGTATGCTCCATAAGGCATTGGTTAAAAAGTATATATAAGAGAAAACAATATCGTTCGGTGGATTACTTTGTTTCGCTTTTCTGGAAATATTTTTGTAAGACTCTATTTCCAAAGACAAAAAAGGAACACGAAACTAACAATAGATCTCATATATAATTACAAAACAGTTCATAATGCAACATAGATGTAGTTTCGCAAGAAATACTGTTGATGCTGATGCACACCTATGCTCACCAAATTTAGTTTGAACTTCCAATCAATAGTAATTTACATTTTAATCGACAACCCGCTTGTTGAATGATCAGGTGTCGTACAATAATCTTCTAAACGAAATTATTTTTCGAATAAGTTGAAACGTTAGAGCATAATAATTGTCTCGTTTTAACACTTGTTCAGTGAGTTACAACTGCATGCCTGATTGCCTAAACACTTTCCTAAATCCTTCATGTTGAAAGCAAACATAAAATAATTTTGTTACTCTTAAAATTTTGCTATTAGAAATTATGGTTGTTCACTAAAAATTGTTCGCTTTTAAAGTATACAATAGCTAGCCTGCTTACTCTCGTTTCCATAAAAACTCAAAACAATTTAACAAAATTCCATGACTGATTTCTTTCAAAATGTAAAACCGTCCATCTGACTATAACGTTAGTTCTTTCCACTTTATCCTAGATAAATGGGGACTTAATCTAGTCTTCATAACTTCTAAATTGTAAAATAGAATATCGAATAGAATGGAAGTTATCCATTGTAATAATAAATATGAGATAGTATATTCATTGTAAAACAAAAACAAATTTACCGAGTGTCAATATTTAAAAGATTAACTATCCCTATATTAAACATCATCCAATAATTAGAAGTATCGGTTAGCTAGTTCGTGGACAAATAAATGTCCATGGAGTTAATTTCTTAATTTTTGGATAAAAAAACTTGACTTGTTTACTACTACAGTTCTGTTTTTAATCATTTCTTTTTTGTTATTTATTATATTGTAATCAGTCTATTTATGCTCTAGAGAATAGACACTGAATTAAAGCACATTTTTTAAATAAAATTTTTTTTCCTTTATCTAATCTCTTCATCCCATCTGTTTATTGTAAACATTGAAGAACAAGAAACTTACAACTAAATAGAGGAATCTTAATAAGGATTATGAGTTATATACTTTGTTCTGAGTAAGTCCCAAACGTAGCGAATAAACTTGAATCACTCAGTTCCTGGTCTTGTTTAAATATTAATGAATAAATCTTGTTTAAAGTAATATTTTGTTTGGAGTTGTATCATCATGTATAAATTACGCGGCATTTAAAAAAAAGATTATCAGTAACATCGATTTATACAAGTGTTCCCTTCTCATAAATTAAATATTCTGTATTAACTCCAACCTAAAACATGAATAAATTTCTATTTTTGTTAAATCTCACTAATGTTGGAGATGATTTTCATCATGGATTAACATCAGCTACGGAATCTTTGAAACACAGTGATAAATACTTGGAAGCTGTTCTTTGGTTCTGTGCACTAATGACCCTGGCAGTGGCCCTATCCAGGATGTAGATATCCTTTTAAACTATCTAGTTACCGTAAAACCAGTAAGTTGGAATATAATAATCTACATTTTCAAACTCATTCAATTTAAAATATTGTATGACTATCACCCATAGTTTTCTATAGATGATCAGAGAAGATTATACCTCTAGATAAACTTTTTTGATTCCAGATAATTATAAGTGCAAAAGCTCTTTGCCATATTTCTTGGTTGTTAATCCTGGTGTTTCATAGCATTTTAGTGAAAACAGTGTGAAAGTCATTGATGTTAGTTATCATATTATGCTTCTATATACTTAAATATCCCTACAATCAATTTTGTAATATAGGTAGCATGATTTGTTGATGGTGTAGTGACAAAATGAGATTTATCAAGACTATATGATATTTTCATTTTTCATAAATAAGCCAGACAAGATGAATGAAAACATAAAAAATCACCGCTCTCAATATTAAACAAAAATACACAATAACAAAGTAAATTTAACGTAAGCACAAACCTCTTTTGAGTGTATATGGAGGAATTGACTCTTCGTTTAACTAAAACTTGAATAAACCTAAGTATGGACCCTAGATCATTCTGCATAAACACTATAAAGGCTGAGTTCAGATGGATTGTATGGACGTTTCGACCATATTGTCAGTGTGGAGTTGTGGAGGTTGTTGGATTTCATTAAAATCATGAACCGATTAGTTTTTACATCATTGCCTAACTTCGATCGGTCCATTATCTCACCGAAACTTCAATTATTTGACTAAAAATAGGACAGAATATGTATTTACTGCCTAGGTCAATGCAATTTAATCTTTTGCCAGTTATTTAAGCAGATGCAGAACTACCTTTTCTTGTAATTTACGATTACTCTTTCTGTGTAAGTTTATCGATATATGCATGTAAACTGGGAAATCAAATAGGATATGAGTTATACACTAACAAGTTGTTTAAATTTTTGGTGAATAACAGAATCTTTTATCACATCAGTGATGACCTTGATCATTTGTCTAAATTCACCTTTTATCACTTATATAAATAAACAAGTTAATATGTAATCACACTGTTTGAAATGTATTGTGCTAATACGCATCACATAGTTCTGATAAATCTCGTCTTTACGCTGCACTAATAAAGTTTATCAAAGTGACTAGCTGTATTAAACATGGTACCATTAATGCTATTCAAGATGAACATACTTGTATGGGATTGATAAAATAAATAGACACACTAAAAAATGTGTTAATATCACCTAATTATAGGCCACGACTCAACAAATAGCAGAAATTGAACAAATACTGAATAAGTATTATCTTATTCATTAACCGTTTTTATCCATTTGCTTACATATTCTCCATCTGGTCCAAAATCGATCCACAGAATTGTCTTCCCATCATCTGCAGTTGACCTCAGTCTTTCATATGGATACTCCCATATCACATGTCCACTAGTCATATTCCCATGTGGATAAGATTGTGGTATTGAATGTGATTCTATAGGAAATTGACAAGAGATTAATTTTAATCCAGTATCATAGTGTAATGTTAAACGACAATCATAATTTTGCCATCTGCAAGTGATTACTACTTCTTGAGCCCCGGCTACAGCCATATGTGCGCCTTCAATGATTGCATTAGACCACGTCATTAAATCCTCTTGAGTAGATACGGCAAATGTATGAGATTCAACACCGTGTTTACTACCTAAACAGAAGAACATGGAAAAACTAAACTAAATTGAATAAATGTAAGGTTTTCATAAATTTCTCGAAAGTTATTGCAGTTCATGGAATTAATAAATTCATGTATGTGACGCCAAGTAACGAAATGACTGTCTGCAATATACTCACCTGTTCTAGTTACAAATGTGACCATGTCTCCGGGTGGATATCTTCGACCAATTTCATTTTGCGCATGAGAATCATTCAGAATTGATTTTCTTAAATCTACCTGAACAACACGTGTAGCAATTAATGGATGTGCTTGCACAGGATTAGCCCATTCTTCTTTAGATGTGGGAGCAGTGTCATACAATAGTAAATCTCTATCAGATAAAGCTGCGAATACTGGTTTCCATGTTGTATGAATAAGTTGGGAATGTGCTGTTGCTGTCGTGTGATCTCCAGCTGATAGAATATCACTTATAATATTACCATTTATATCATCCATATGATCACCTACTCTATTTGGTACATCTGAACTAGTACACCGTAACTCCACTAACCAATCCAGTTGTTTTAGTTCCTTTTTAAGAAAGAAAAAAAATCGTAACAATAACAAATGAAAGTTAAAATTGATTTTGATGTTGAATGGTTGTTTTATGATTTTTAATTCATAAGTTAAATACGTGAACATTTTCGTTTTGTTTAGATTTGTTCACTGCTTGAACAAAGTCAAAGTTTAAATATGTCCTGATTTATATAAAACCAGTAGACTCTGTATCCAATCCTATGTGGGTTCATAGTTGTACATTGATGAGAAGTTTCGAAATAAGATAACACATTTGTCCTTGATTTTACGTAGTATTCAGAACTATGATATTTCGTAAGAAAATCTGGCTGATTTCCGTAAACACTTCTAAGACAAAGGAGTTCATAATTCAAAAACGATATGGCTTACAAATCCACCCTTTTTTATTATAAGCATTTAAAGATACTGAAGTGGAAACTAGTCTAGTTCAGGGATTCGAATTTTCGAATATACATTCATTATCTGAAACTTAAGATAACTAGTTTTGAGGCTTAAATCACGTATGACAAATTACATGTTATGTGTTAAACTTTCTATGTCCATACAAGCGTATGAAATCACATTAATAAAATTTACTTTAGTCACGACTTTTGTGATCAGTTTCGTATTCTTAAAAATTATTATGGATTGATAGAAGTTCGAAATGTAAACTACCTGACGGCAACTCAGTAGCCTAAAGATTAACCAATCTCTGAAGGTTCTATGATGATCACAGGTTCAGTCGTGAATGGGCACTCTGAAGGAGTCCCATAACAAGGTGAAATAACCGTTTGATACTTAACTTTTAATGGTTGTCTAATTAAAATCATTTCGTGATGTAAACCTACGAAAAGCATTGCTTTATATTGATTTAAATAACTAAGATAAGTGTTATATGTTCATATTAAGAACAGAGTTGTTTAAAACTCCTGAAACTCAATGCCACATTATGTGTAGTTTAATATCTGACATATTCTACGAGGTATAAACATTTCTGAATAGTCCTTTAAAAATTTGTGATGGTATATTAATTAATTTATTAAAGTCGTCAATGTAAGATAACATTTTTCAGTCCATTGATTACGAGACCCATTAAAGGAACAAATAAATCTGGATAACTCTAGCGAATGAAATTTACATAATAATGATATGAACCTCTTCATGCGAAAATAAAAGGAATGAACATCAAGATTGTCATTGATTTTGCTAACTGTACTCTGTATCTTTTGTTATTGTTGATGTGAATAGCCAATATGTACATAAAGCTTCAGATGTTTTCCTTTATGAGTGCCAAAAACTTTTGATAAACAGAAGTATATCTTAAATTTATAAAAGTTTTAGAATGGTTTGCTGTTTAAAAGTAAAATTTTAACTACAAAGTCCAAATACTCTTTAAGTAACCGATTACAAAATTTTATAATTTCCGAATATAGAATTCTTAATAATTGTGGGTAAATTAGGTGGAAAGCTGATCACAATAACAACCTGATAATGAGTATGGCCCGGTTTTTCATTACGCAATTGGCAAAAACATCAAAGGAATATGGTCTGTCAAAATTTTAGGTCACCGATCTGCTCCCCAGATGTTTACTCATGAACTAAATTTAAGGATATCTTCATAGCAAAATATATCAACGTTTGGAATGAACAGCAGATAGTATACACCGTAGATGACATCCGTTTGATCACATTTTAGTTAAGGTAATTCTTTACCTGTATGACAAGTATATTTCAAATTCTCTTCCTCATAACCCTATTCTCAGTAATCAGGGAAATATGAAAACTTTAATAAATTGGTTAAACAAATTTGTTTGTACACTCTTAAACGTTTATCTAATTCAGGCTTAAAAGGGAGGATGACACACATTGTTAAGGTGTTGTCAGTTTATGCAAAGAATCTTAGTTGTAGGGGTTTTACTCACTTTTGCTTGTAAGACATAACAGTTTATCTGCTTTGGAAACCCTCTCCTCTCGTTACTTACTGGTAATTACGGATGTTAGGTGTAGATACAACATACCTCAAACTGATTTTACAACTACATTGATCACAGTTTGTTCCGTATCACTTGTATTAAGACTACATGAATCATTCTTTGAGGTAAGTTGTATGAACGGAAAGTGGAACCGGTCGACTTCCCAAACCGAAGATGGTAGACATGTAATGTAGTGCTTGAAACTTGACTACTTTATTTTCTATTCCACCGCCTCTAAACATTAGGTTAGTCCACACTGTATTGTCTTTCTCGTTAGACAGCTTGGTAAAACTTAGTTCTACTTGGTATTGGTTAGTTATCTTGACGTTAGCACGAATTAGTAAGGTGATGCAATATAATTAACTCATGACAGTCTGACAATAATAACAGTAATAATAATAGTGTATCTCTCATATTTGAAATCACTATCACTTAGTTATTGAATATGAATCGATCAAAGATGTATATGCATTAAAAATGATTTATTCCCAGTGATTTTATGATAGCTTACGCGTTACAAAATTTCGAACTCGTAGAATCCGTGTTCTGAACAGTGTAGGATGTGAACATTGAAAACAAGGGTTCAAGAATATGATTCATCCATAAGTTGATGTTACATAGAATTCGAGACTAGTTTTCAAGTATAATCATCACTCTCTAAATACCTTATCATCAAAGTCACTCACATGTTTTATAAAACACTATAGGATGGTAACTTTTTCTTCGGATATTACATATTCAAACTATCTGATCTTCTTCCTAATTTAAAGACTTAATTTTCGTTATAGAAATTCTGACTGAAGTTGGGTGGAGACATGATCAGAGTGATTCAAGCATTTTGCTTATTCCAACTTGAATAATCATACACTTTTTACCCAAAAATACAATTTGCAGTTATTCGCTTTAATTATTGGCATTATTAATATTAATCGTATTATATGCAATTGTGACTTTATTTTCAATTTTCATAGATAATAATATAAGCCAATTATTATCACAATTAGCATTGAATATTCAACAATTAGAGCGAACAAGTAATTATCTACGAGTAAAAATTGACCAAGATAACTGTGTGCACATACGTATTTAATAGATTATTAAGGTATGTTGTCCTAATCCTTTTCTCTGTAATTATTAAGTTTATTATTCATGAGTTGCCATTTAACTGCATTGAAATCTCTCTGTTGTCGTGGTTGTTGTTGTTGATGTTGTGTTTTCTTGACGAAAACCTTTCATTTTTATAGGATGTAAATGGTATTTATTAAACAACTTGGTAACGGAATAAATTAGTCATTCATTAATGGCACTATTATTGTTAGATAGTTTTATTCTCAATTAAGTATGATTTCAAAACAGTGTTTATAAACATATTTGTATTGTTTACTTAACTAGAGTGAACGTATTCGGAAAGTTGTTTTGAGAGTCTAATAAACACAGTGAGGCTCAATGGGAGTTTGGATTGGTGGCAGTTGGTTGGTTATTCCCACTATGTCCTGTTATCTTTCCTATTGATTTAAGGATTTTCTTATGATATATTAAGAACAATAAAGCCTGGAAGTAAAATATCATTATAAATTTCACTCTGTTATATCATAGTTGAAGATGAAAATAAATCCAGTCATGAAACAGTCACTTTATATAGTGACATGCTGAATAACTCCATTGTTTCATCTACTCATCCGATAGACAGCCAATAAGTCATCTAGATGTTTATGATACCTTAGTAATTACTTCGAAGAATAACTGGTCATTTGCTGGTGTCAAATCAGTGATGTGGTCATTAGTGTCACGGGTTGACGTTGATTAAGGCCTCATAAGTTTCACTCTGCTAATTCAATACAAATTCACTACTGTTATTTCTTTGAAAGATGTATGTAAAGGATATTTCGTGCATCTTTTTGAACCTATTCTGTCACAGAAGTAAGAGATTTATGATGGTTAAGAAAACCCAAATAGAAAAGTTCATAAAGTATATTCGTTATTATACAACAGTGTCATGATCTACCTAACTTTACAGTTCTTTGACACAACACTCAACAGCATGAAAAAGTACTTCTTTTGGTTAAAACATTGAAAACGAAATTCCATCTTGAAAGAATTCGTCGGCCTTTCAATGTTATACACCTTTCTCGTTGATATTTAATCAACAATGATATTACCAGTCTGTGGAGCTAAAGCGAGCTGAGCTATGATGTTTGTGAGTGACATTCCGAGTTTAAATAATGGAAGACAGTCCCATGAATAGTCGTAAATTGATAAGCATTAAAGACGTTTTGTTGCTTATCGAAACTGTTCCAAAACGTATAAAATAACTAGAACATAGTCTTAGGTCTATTACCGATCTTAAAAGGACATGTATTGTGAATACATGGTGAACGATTTCTAGTTTGTACTTTAAGCTTACAACGTTTTGTTCTAGGCTGAGAGAATTCAAAATTTCATCCTGTTTACAAAAGCAGTGGTTGGTAGTATGGGAGAATGTCCATCTTCACAAACGTCTTGTTACATTTGTACTGCAACTGTGTTTGGAAAACTCACAGAAAATCATAAGACGGGTGTATTCGAACGGTAATTTAAATATCTGCAGATACGAAGCAGATATGAACGGTTTGATTCAATGGTTGATTTTGTAACAGTATTTTGATGAGAAGCGTCCATTTCACTTTGTAATAGTTTGTAGGAGATGTATAGTTAATCATATAACTACTTATTCCAGTTGATATAACGACTCAGTCATAACCACTTTTGAAGATGAAATTAGTTGAATCAAAGCCTGACAAATGAACAGATAATAGAAGACAGAACACAACACTAGACAAAGTTCAGGTTTTCTCATTACAAAATACTTTTTAAGCAAAATGTTGGCAAGGAAACTGGACCTGTTTTAAAGTTATCAAAACAATATAGTCAACAGTGAGATGTGGCGTTTTGGTCATTTATTGACAAATGAGGATGAGATCATCAATACTTATTTATTCATTCAAGCGATATTTTGACGACGTTTTGCTCTAGTTTGAACATGTATATCGTCACGAACAGAGATTTTTCAGATAACTACTGAAAACTGGAGAATATGGGACAATAGTTCAATTCTAGCTAGAGGCTCTTCGACTGTACTCATCAACAACTCACACGGAAATTTAAATCTAAAACCTTAACGTTTCGTGATAAGTCTGATACTTCCACAAGTCAATAGATAAATCCCAGCCGATATGCGGTATGACACGATCTTCATCTTCGTAAATAATCAGTTTTGAAGTGTATTTCGTGAAATTCTTTTGAGAAGCATAAAACCTTTAAATTTCACTGTGTCCGGAGTGATGCTACTATTTCACTGACGACACAATAAGGGTTTGTATTCTCCCGTCGTTGTTAACATCTGTAATTGGTTAGTCCCAACTGATACATGTGCATCCTGAGTGGATTACCCCGATAAGATTTAGGGGTTGTATCGACATCTACCTGGTTAGTGGCTAAGCGGATTCTACCATTAGCTATTATCTGATTTGAATCGTAATTTGAACGTTCTTCTTAGCCATTGCTTAGACCAGATAAGTTATTGTTCACTTCAATGGATTATGAATTAATAATCTAGTTATTATTTAATAATAGTCAATAGAGGAACATCCTCGATGTTTGTCAAATGCTTCATTGTTCTCTTTACATGTAACACCAGGATTTTACACTAAGCAGCTGGTCATTTCATGTTTGATCATTGTTTGTAAGTGATGAGTTATCATTGTTTGATCGTAACACACATGCTAAGTATCATGATACCACCTCTGTACGTTAAGCTGAATGGCTTGAAGACATAACAACTATTATTATTATTATCACAACCCCCATCAACAGACTTGCCAACCTTTCCTAGTACCGTGTGGCTGACCTCAGCATTATTCACTCGATAGTCCAAACATATATGAGCTATGGTACAGAGATACCGATGAAAAGAACCCTGAAGTCCACGCTTGTCTTTGACGTGTATAAATAAGTGCGTGGAATAAAGTATTTAGACTGAAATACAACATAAAATTGCACATTTTTGTCGGAAAGATAACGTCATGAAATCGTAATATTCAGTATGTGATTTGTTAGACTTCTAACTCTTCAAAATTAAACAAAATGTTCTGAGATTTTCTGTGGTATTAGTCAGCTTAAAAGCTTGTGGAGATGGCCTAATAAAAAAAATGTTTAAATAATCGATTGACCTTAACTAGATCATCATTAGAAACTTTGTACTCTTATACAATTGGCTCCCATAATGCAATTAGAGACCGAACTAAGGACCGTCATTCATCACAGTGAGTAACTGATTGATATCCAATCAGTTGTTCAATAATACCAGAATTTGATTAGTTCTATGGATTATTAGTGGTGAGTTAGAGGTGTAAAAAAATTAATAAAGTAGTTAGAATTGTAATAATTTGTTTCTTCAATTTGATGAAGCATATTTATGTTCATATAAATTTATTGTCAAATGGAAGACAATATTATGCAGAAATCAAATGTACTAATAGGAGTTTATCTAATTCAGCAGATCACTTAGACACTAAGTTAAATTGTACATCAAGGGGCACTCTGTTTAGTACTGAAAGCCCAACATCTGCATTTAACATTCGCTGTTACTCATTAGTACATCGTTTATATAATATTAGGGAAATTCATTATCTATTAAGAATTCAAACTTTTATTTCACAATCGGGACGTTTGATACACTAATGTCTAACTTCTTACTCCAATCACTAATAGCTCTTAAAACTGGATTATGTTTTCGAATCAGTTTACAGACACTAACTATGCAAAATATTTTCGTCTACATTGTATAGCAAGGAATAACCAATATCTAAAATTTATAAAACATGACACATACAAATAGATCGTTACTGTTGTTTGAACCGTGTATCAACTGAAATCTAGCTTATATTAATTTCTACTTGGAAAAATAAAAAAGTGGTCATTTAATTTATTTATAACAGGTATTTTCTATTCATTAAAGCTAGTCTTTTCGGTTTCAATGTGTTTTACCCGTAGTATAACTGATAAAAATAATTGAGTTGTTCTTGCAAGAAATAAGATGCAATCATCTACAATTATTTAGTGAAATAAATAACAATTTTGATAAAAATAACTATTGTGGCTTACTTGGGTTGGGGGAAGTAGACGATTTAGTTCAGCCAAATAAGATTTATTTATAATTTTCATTTTACTGTGTATTGCATCGAACCACATTCGAGCTTCTTGAGCATCTGGTGCACGGAGCAGACATGAACGTCGACCATCTGAACTGTGTAACTCAAAACAACAACCAGTCACATCTGGTAATGTTAAATCTCTTACTAAATGTGTTAGTCTTAATGGCACTACACCAGGACCACCAGAACGTCCTGGATGCTCTATACTACCTGTTGATGTGACATTTTTACCAGTGGTATCATTAGCTCCGAACGGGACCAGATTACCGAGCTGACTAGTAGGCCAACTGAGATCAGCAGAGCATGCTATTGTTTCCATCCCTACTGCCCTGAAAGTAATGAAAGTAAAAACAATCGTGTTCACATCAGTTGTTCCTCTATGCAACGCTTTTTCCAAATATTATAGATTGAAAAGTCTTCGTCCATTGGCCTACATGCTATAATATCAGACCAAACGATTGATGGTGACAATATTGAACTCTTTCAGAAAAGTATTAAGTCACAAAGAACAGCTTATAGCAGAAACACTTCACATTGGATAGAATTGTCTAGACAGAAAAGAAGAGTTTGAAAGAAATCTGACCTGACGTCAACACCCTCACCTCCACTTTAAACTAACATTGTCAATATAAATGTGAAAAACGGAAAAAATTGTAATCACATTTTTAGAAGTTATTCACGTATCAAAACAAACAATTTACACTCTCTTTTGTCTTGACCAGTCCATTTACTTGATATCACAAAACTATTTATTCAGAAGTTTGACCGATTTACCATAGATAAACTGAGATTTTTGTAAATTCCGATTGTTCGAAATGTATTGCGCTGATATATCACATAGTTCTGATAGTCTCCGTCTTCTTATTGCATTATCGAAATTTATAAAAGGGAGTAATTGCTTTAAATTCCGATTTATTTGTTTGATAAAGCTTTTAACACTAAATAACAAAATGTCATTAAAAATAACTTAGTTTTTTTTCACTCATTGGAAAATACAGATTCATAACCGTGGTGAAAATTATCTACCTAATACCAAACATTTTTCCAAAACAGATCTGAACTTGGTTTGAATACGTATGCATGAAAACATAACCGTATTGTTGCGTACCGGATATCAAAACTAAACTACAAGAACGAGATCGAAGTATGAAATTAAAGTTGAACATTTGTATAGCTAATTCCGATTAGGTCAGTAGATAAAACTGATTGTCAAAAATATCGAAATTAAGGATGATACATATCTCGAATGGTAGTTCATCAATTCCAAGACACCTCGTAATGCTGTGTGCTTTTAAGTCAACTGTATGAATATAACACATCAGAAAAAACGATTCAAATGATGAAAACTAAAAAAAAGTTAACTTATACAATGATTCACCAACAGTTCATTAGACATTAAAACTAAGATTACTGAATTCTGTTCTAAGATGAACTGTTTATACTTTTGGATCGCAGCAAGAAAGACAGTTACTGGAGTTGTTTCACAGAATTTCATTAGAAAAAGGGATTAATACTACAAACTGGATTTCTAAACTCAAACCATTCACTAAAATCTGCCAAAACGTTTTAAGAAACTTCATGTTCTAATTGTGAACGCGTTCATGTTTGCCATTGACGTTTCGTTTTCTCTTCTCTCTTTTTCATTTCAAGTTTGATGTACTTTTCGTCTAGGCACTTCTTCTTACCTTAGTTTAGCCAGAACCACAATATATAATTAGAAAACTTGTTTAAAAAAAGGTAACTGTTACTGTTTACTTGAAATTTGTTCTGTTTGCTACTGAATATCATCTATTCTAAATAAAGCTTTACTATGCGAATACACGAAGAATTCACTTCTATCTAACTTAGAAAATTATAACATGAATATAATAGTTTAGTCATTCACTTTCATTTTTGATTTTTAAGAAAATACAACAGTGGGGAATAGGAGGTCTAAAATAAACGTACAAGTGAAAGTAAATAAATTTTAAATGGAAACTGAAGTGCGAATTTGCATATGGTCATGACCAAAGTTTGTAACATAGGTATTGTATAAAACGTAGAGTAATAAGTACTTTTAATAAACTTCTATAGATCGACCTCATCTAATTGCCGCAAGAAGAATGGAGGACTTAGAAGACAAGAAAAAATATAGAATGCCATCAAGTTAACTAAATCTATGAACATATAGAATGTAACCGAGCATTTGTGGTTGATTTGATCGCTTCATAACACTCAGTATACTTGACGAATGGTTTTTAAGATTTCTAACACTCAAACCTTCTGTCACTATTAATAAATAATATACTCTATCACTATAGTACAGGATCATATTTTGATCCATTCGTTGTAATCTGGTAAGGACAGAAATGCTTCAAAAACTATTGATGCACTGACATGATTACAAACAAATGTAGTGCTTCAAGTGAAGTAATTTAATGCGTGCGGTTAATCGGCAAATGAACAAAGTATTCTGATCCTCCTCGAAAATAACTATAGTCAAACACTATTAAAATAGTTTTCTGATCATTTCTCTAGTGTATGAGCGTGTATTTAACAAGAAGTCCGAATAAACAAATGTTATTTTCCCTAGATAAAGTTAACTATAGAACAGTAAGATAACAAATTATCACAAAATTACCAATTTTCAAACTCATTTCAAAATTAATTTTGTCAAATCTCATATCATTGTCAGCATGAGGTTAGGGAGATTTGTTGAGTTTCATTGTAATCACGAACCGATATGTTAGACAAGCGTTGAAAACCTAAAATTACTGAACAGTCGCCTTGTCCCAAAGTGGGAATCCTTGGCAGTTCACATACACAAAACTGCATGCGGGGGATCGAACTCAAGATATTCATCCTTGTGAAAGAATCCTCAGACTTTCCCGAATACTTTAAATAATTTCATCTAACAATATCCCAGAATTCTGTAGTGAACTGATTATTAGTAATCTGTATTTGATTCGAACTAATACTGGCCACAAATAAAATATTTAATGGGTATATCAGCATTAGTAAATGTAAAATGTAAATAAGATAGTAAAAAGGCAGCGACAACAGTCTATTATTATTTATTTACTAACATATCCTCGTTACCATGTCGTGTCGGTTACTATGTTAAGCCCACTAAGACTTATTCTAGCTTCTGGACAGGCGAATTTAACCATTCTTGAGTCACGTTTTGACCTTGTTAATTATTCAATTTCAATGATTAAGATCATGAGTCAGTTGAAGCTAGATCACCATGGAAAACCTGTAAGCACTGGACGGCCGTTTCGTCCTATTATGGGACTCCTCAGCAGTGTGCATCCACGACCTCGCCCCCTGCGAGATTCGAACCCAGGACCTACTGGTTTCGCGCGCGAGCACTTAACCACCAGACCACTGATCCGGCATACGACAGTGTTAATGTCTAACTTCAACTAATCCACGAAATTGAGCGACACATCCACTATTGTTTTCAGTGAGTTACTATCCCACAACAGACCTGGTTGAACTCCATTGGTCACTACTTTTCACTAGAACTCCAGGATATACCTCTTGAAGCTAGTCACTAGTGAGCATTTGTTGATTATTGTCAGAAGGGGTTTTGTGGAGATCGTAGTAATTTCAATGATTAACATTCTCCATGGCGGTCTAGCTTCAATTGACTCATGATCTCAACCATTGAAATTTATTCTTTTGATGTCTACCTACAATTCCAGGCTCAATATGTTATTTGGTCTGACACGTTTCCTTTCTCATTGAGGATCCCAAGTTAGGGCTTGGTTCCTTATGCACTTTGAAAATTTCTGTAATGTGGTCTATCCAACTCCAATGCTTTTTCCTAATTTCCTCTTCATCTAGAAGCTGATTTGTTTTGTTTCATAGTAGGTTATTGCTGATGGTGTCCGATCAAAGTATATGGATAATCTTGTCTAACTACCTGGACGATTTTAGCGATGGTGGGGGTGGTAGATCTTCAGGTTTACCTTCGTAAAGTTTGTATTGAAAATTATGAGTTTGGTGTTATCATGCAGTTGTTTCGAGTTCCGGATATTCTTCAGTTGTGCGGATGCTGACCTCGCTTTGTCAACCTGTGCCTTCGCATCTCCATAAGATCCCATTTATTCATCAGTGATGCCACTCAGGTCAAAAAACCTTTCTATCACTTTGAGGGCTTCTCTATCAAGTGTGATCAAGTTGGTTCTAACCGTGTCACATTTCATTTCGCATCTTCCATTGTGGATGTTAGGACCCACTCCTGAAATGACCACAGCTCTCTTAATGGATAACCATGAGAAGAGAATTAACAAAAACGTACCCACCTATGGATTAACATTTTCATCGTATGCCAGCTGTGCCTGATGTATGTTTCGCGAATTATCGCGAATATTTTACTGCACAACCAGTAACTACTTTCTATCTTCCTTATGATCATATCCGCTCTTATTCTTTTTATTCCGTCTTTTAACACATTACCAATTAAACTTTTTATTCATTTTTGAAAGAATCGTCTTCTCTCAGTAATCGCATTATCATTTCGTCATTCCCACACTTCAACCAACTGACCTTCTAACTGCTAATGTGATAAATACCCTATTGACCTGAGACGAATGCACTCACTCAACTACAAGACATAAATCCATAAATAACTACCACGTTGATTAGGATTAATGCATTCGGATGACTAGACTAACGCCTAATGGAAATCACCAAATACCTGAGACCGTATTGAAACAACAAGAAGTGAGTGCGAAGTAATCAATCGGTTTAGACATGCACGTGACAAAGACATTGGATTTTGGACCTATAACACATTTACAGTATCTTTTTGAAGATCAAACTTAAACGTGATGTTGAATGGATCTTTTGTTGTCCTACATTAAATAAAACTATTAGAAATTACAAAGTCGACATTAAATATTATTAATTAATTAAACCACTCATTTGGGAGGAATATTAAACATTAAGATATCACCTATCTGCTTACTTGAACCTGTTTCCTGTCATCGAGCGTAGGTTCCTGACCAGCATTTGGGTCTTTATTTCTAGGTAATGCAAAGATTTTTTCACTTTTTGATGTCTGGCACCAACCACCTGGCAACCACTTTTCATTTAACCTTGACGATTACAATTCAAGGCTTGACTTTCGGCGCTGTCCGTTTGTTAGTGTGATGTGTGTCCTATTCATCATAGAATTTTTCTCAACTTCCAGCAGCTGGTTTGATCTCCGCTGCAGTAGCGTGTTACTGTTGATTATTGGGTAACGGATATAGAGCATATTGTGCACAAAGCTGACTATACTTCTGCAATCTGAGTGATGATTAAACTGGTTCACAAAGATTCAGCTCTGAAAAATTCAATT